AAAAAAGAAAAGAAAAGCAATATTATGTTAGGAATGTTAATCTTGTACATTTGACAATATTTGCAGTATTTGGCCGAATTGGCTTCACAGATTGATTATCTCAACATCCAAGGAGGTAATGATCAGCGACGTCCGGATCTCCGTAACATGTTAGAGTGAACAATTATACAGTTTCTGGGAGGGTGAAAATAATTTTCAATAATCTGATTATTAGTTTTGGCTTTCAAATCTCTCAAAAGAAGGCAGGCTGACAAAGTTAGTTACCCAAGTCCCCACATTTTTCAGAATTGGTATAAAATCTACACAAAATTTATCAGTTTATCTTCAGAGGCGATTTTCTATGACATTTCAACATACAAAAATTATCTTACTCCGGTTTTACTTAACTTTAAGGGTCCTGATTTAACGATCAAAATAAAGCATTTATCAATAACTCATTACCACAAAACCATAGAGCTATTAAACAACTAGAGTGCTGACAAGATGGCGAAGCAATGCAGAGTTGTGTGTGTGTACCATCCAAGATGGCCGCCGTAGGAAAGCGCCGCCTTCAGGCTTACTGTTCATATTATTACCATAAATAAGCCCTCTGACTGACTATTATTTCATTAATGATAATTAGTATTGATAATAACAAATTATTAAACTATCGTAGCCAAAAAGAGGCCAAACTAGAGCATCTTATTCAAAAATTAAAAAAAAATTAAAATTGTGTACATTACACCCATGCACCGCAACGCTCGAATTTCACACATACGGGTAACTAGCTATACTGAACTTTCCGTGCAAATTGAGGGCGCTGTCAGATTTGCATTGGTTGGAAGCTTTTTGTTGCTAATTTCATATCAAGGTAAAAATATTACATATGGCATAGGTTTTTTGCTTGTTGGCAGGTTTAAGCTGATTACTGACGGGCAAGTGGTTTTTTTTTAAATCTGACTGCCAGGTGAACACTGCATTATTATATGCTATAGTTGTTATAGTATTCTTACCCTGCTGACAGTAGTATCGTATTGGTAGTGATATTTGAAATAACAGTAATGTAGTTGTAGGCCTAGTAGTACTATAGCTGTCTCTTATACACATCTAGATGTGTATAAGAGACAGTAGACATGGGTTCAGTGGTGGTAACGAGAAATTGGGGATGCATATGCACATGACTTTGTAACGTACCAACTGACAACATTTAGTAACATTATTATTAGGCCAGAATAGAAGAAATCGTTGTAAATGGCTTAGTGTAGCCTTAATTGTCGTATGGTAAAATAATAAATAGCGTGACCAAGGGCTTTTGGAGCCGATTTATCGTGGTTTTAGTTTTATTTCATTACTTTATTAATGTGCTGTAAAACCCTCCATACATTATTACATATTATATATCATTGATATGGACAATGGATGTCTAATAGAATTTGAATTGTATTGAATTTAAACAGTACAGGTACAGTAGGCCTATAGGAAAACATAAAGCCGGTTTTATATACACTAAGCGAATTTATTCGTGCAAATCGAAAGCGTCGATTCATGCGCTTGCACATTCACATTTCTATTGGAGTTTTTCGCTTCAGCGAAATCAAGAGTCCGAACTGTTTCTACTTTTTGCGAAGCGAAAACATGCGCAATCAATCAGAGCTCAGGTTTTCCACTAGGCGAATTTATTCGCGCGAATCGAAAGCATCGCTCATGCGCATGCTCATTCACATTTCTATGGGAGTTTCCGTTTCAGCGGAGTTGGTAGTTCAAACTGTTTCTGCTTTTTGCGAAGCGAAAAATGTGCGCAACCAAACAAAGCTCAGGAACCGAACCGACGCGAATAAATTCGCCTAGTGGAAAACAGGCTTAATGTAATGTGATGTGTACGTTGGGCCTACGATATTTAGTCATTATCCGCCAGAACCATTACAGGCGACCTTGCCGCTTTAAGTATTAGCGCCATTCGACTCATCCGGGTGAACAGTATGTGGCCTATTCAATATATTTCAACATCTTTATTTTTTAAATCTGTACATAAAACAACAAATTGGTGTACAAACTGAATTGAATGTTGACTAATTAGTGAATAAAACAATTAACAATTGTATAGGTAAGAAAGCCCGCACCTAAAGGGACATGGTTAAAGAAAATATTAAACTATTTCGAGGGAACGAAATCATTTCGAGATAACGATATAATATTTCGTTCGAACAAAATAATATTTCGTTCCCTCGAAATATTATTTCGTTCCCTCGAAATACTATTTCGCCCTCGAAATACTATTTCGTTCCCTCGAAATAATATTTCGTATATGGTACGCCCACAGTGCCTTCGGTGTCGGCTGATCGTCATGGGTGGCGCAAGGATTTGCCCAACGGTGGGGCCGAGGTCCCAGGCTTGGGGTCCATTCTCAAGACGAAAGCAAAGTGGGTGCGGTCGAGCTTCGATTAAAAGGTTTCGACAGTTTATAAATTTTGACAATTTAAGGGTTTCAAAGGCTTATTTAATCGATATTAGAGTCTACTAATATGTAGAAAATACATAGAATTTTTGTTTCTCCCCGACGAATTGTGGTTTTTCTCCTTGACAGGGAGGATGGGGGGGGGGGGCAGTTCGAGGGAACGAAAGAATATTTCGAGGGAACAAAAGAATATTTCGAGGGAACGAAAGAATATTTCGAGGGAACGAAATAATATTTCGAGGGAACGAAATGATTTCGTTCCCTCGAAATGATTTCGTTCGAACAAAATAATATTTCGTTCCCTCGAAATAAGATTTAGTTCCCTCGAAATAATATTTCGTTCCCTCGAAATAGTGTAATATTTTTTCTACACTGTTATTTTGAAGGAGTTATTTTAATTCCAAAGGAGTTATTCTGTACCTAAAAAAAGTTACAGAATAACTCCTTTCGAGTTAAAATAACTCCTTCAAAATAACAGTGTAACCATTTTGTAAAATGTCCAATCAAATTACAAAAATTGTAATCAAGGGTTGGGGCACCGCCATCCCACAGACTTCTCTTATACACATCTAGATGTGTATAAGAGACGGGGGGGGGGGGGGGGTTTAAGTATTTATGGGTGTAACTATAGCGCACAGCGTTATCTGAGTGCCGAAGGCCAGAGCCAAGGGTGGGTATGAGAGAGGGTGTCCCCTCCTCCCAAAACGAGATTTTTTTTTTGAAATTGTCGTTGAGGTTATTTTCTGAAGCCGCATAGAGAATGTTGGTTGATAAAGCTTGTAGCGAGGTACTCCACATACTTCCAGACCGGAATCCCACATCATTGGAACACAACAAGGCATCATTCATAAACACAAAAAAAAAAAAAAAAAAAAAAAAAAAGGAA